ACTAATAATCCCTTTCAGCCACCAACCTCCCATTCAAAATAGTTGTGAATAGTTTGCTGTGTTTATTTTTGTATATAGTAGCATATTTTGTCATTACTATTTTTGCAAATTGTGGAGGTTTTTAAAAATCTATTTTATTCTCTGCAGTATCTCTAACGTCCATAATAAGGCTTAGCATTTAGTGGGCACTCATTAAATATTTTTAGAATAAATGAATGATAATACAGTTCAGATGTCAAAAACACAAAATCTGAATGTTTGGTCAAGGTTGTTAAAATTGTTTAAGTTCTTTGCCAACATTTAAAAATTGATAAAAATCTGAAATTCAGACCGGACGCGGTGGCTCACACCTGTGATCCCAGCACTTTGGGAGGCCGAGAAGGGTGGATCACGAGGTCAAGAGATCGGGACCATCTTGGCCAACATGGTGAAACCCCGTCTCTACTAAAAATACAAAAACAATTAGCTAGATGTGGTGGCACGTGCCTGCAATCCCAGCTACTTGGGAGGCTGAGACAGGAGAATTGCTTGAACCCAGGAGGCGGAGGTTGCGGTGAGCCGAGATCGCGCCATTGCACTCCAGCCTGGGCAACAAGAGCGAAACAACGTCTCAAAAAAAAAAAAAATCTGAAATTCTCATTTTACTTGAAAGTTTTGAATCATTTGGTCACTGCAAGTTCAAATTCCATCATACCGGTTGTACTTCCTTTAGATGGGCATGAATCCACATTCACTTCAGTATCACTTTGCTGATGCTCACCTGCCTGGACCCTACGAACCTGTGCTGTGCAGTGCGGTAGACACTAGCCACATATGGCCATTTAACTTGGTTAAAAATTTTATTCCTTAGATGTGCTAGTCATTTCAAATGCTCAGTAGCAGCATCTAGGGGCTACCTTCTTGGATAGTATAGATGTGAACATTTCCATCATTGCAGAATGGTCTTTAGACAGTGCTTCTTTAGACATTTGAGTTTGCCACCTCTGTTATATGGAAGTTTTCAGGTAGCATTTATTATTTTTAAGTTTGCATATCCCTTTGCCACAGATTGCTAGCTTTTAAATCCTTAAAAGATTTATAGATCACTGTGTCATCTTTTTAAATTATTTTATTTTAATTTTTTAATTTTTTTTTTTTGAGACAGAGTATTGCTGTGCTGCCCAGGCTGGAGTGCAGTGGCACGATCTCAGCTCACTGCATCCTCCACTTCCTGGGTTCAAGTGATTCTCCTGCCCCAGCCTCTGGAGTAGCTGGAATTACAGGCAAGTGTCACTGTGCCTGGCTAATTTTGTGTGTGTGCATTTTCAGCAGAGGCCGGATTTCACCATGTGGCCACACTGGTCTCGAACCCCTGACCTCGTGATCCACCCACTTCGGCCTCCTAAAGTGTTGGGATTACAGGCATGAGCCACCGTGCCCAGCTCCATGTCATATTTTAAATGGTTACTTGGTATTTATCAGGGTAAGACTGTATGTAAATGGTGGGGGTAGGATTCTGTATGTAAACTGTGGGGGTAGGTTTGCATTTTAGAAAGAGTGCTTTAGGTCTAGGTGGGGTCAGACTGGAGTGAGAGGGGTTGGTGGTGAAATAGGCAGGGAGATAAGGTGTGTGGTGCAACAGCATAAGACCACAAGCGCAGGAAGGGCTAGAGTGAGATAAGGAGGTGGAATTGATATGACTGTTTTAACGTGGGCTGAGTTATTTTGGATGCTGAAGTTGCTGTAGCGATAATCCAGTATTTCTGGAACTGATTAAATGTTGAAAATTTGTAAATTTGGCTTTGCAGAAATGTAGAAGGATCCCTCAGCTAGTTCTAGTAAACAACATGTATAATATTAAAAAGCTATCGATTTATGAAAACAAATGTGTAACTGTTTTATATCATGTAAATGTCTTAGAGATCATTTGCAGAATACAGAAACGCACTGAAGAAAGAGAATTAGTTTTGGGATAAAGTAAAAGCTCAAGAAGCTCAATTAAATGTAGGAAATACAGTGGTTTCATGGCAGTGAGGGAGGTTTTATTCTCTCATGCTCTCTCTGGCTTTGTCGTCTCTCACTTACCTTCTGTCTACACATACATTCCATTGTCTTTTCTGTGGATCCACTTTTTTCTTTTAAAAGCTTTTTGTTTGTAGTTCTTGCTTACATATTGCTTTGTTTGGGCATAGTACCTGCTGTAGACCCAGCTTGCACATGACATGCCCTTATGTTCCTGTGCAGAATACTGTTTTATGTAAAATCTTTTTAGTGTCAAATACCAACTCCTAGCTCTGTGGCTTCTGGTAGGGGTTGCTGGGGATGAATGCAGTCATCTGGGCCCATCCCCTAAACTGAGGCTGTAAGACACACATTTGAAAAAGGAATTGTGCTTGGTCAAGTGTCTGAAGCTTACCTACTACAGTAAATCATCAGATTTGAGGGAAAGGAAAGAAAGTGGGCTTGTGTTGTTTTTGCAGTTTGACTTCTAGAAGACTTTACATTTAAACCTTAATACACTTTCCCATTTAAAATAGTTCTTTCCATTTGTTTTTTGTCTTTCTGTATCTGCCAATAAATGGCATGAAAAATAATTACTGCCTTCCTGAACTTTTCAGCTACTCATGGATATCTCTTTAAAAATGCATACAGTATGTAGTATCTAGTAATTGAATTTTATTATCCTCTAATAGTTTTACTTAGGTTCACTTTTGTCTCCTCAACTAGATTATAACATCGATGAGGGCAGGACTATTTTCTGTGCTGCGTAACTCTCATGCTATCTAGCCAATGAAAACCTTACTAGCTACTCCAGTATGAATTTTGAAATGATTTCTGGACATAAATTATTTTACCATTTTCTATGTTGGATCAGAAAAGTAAAAACAAAGTAGCTTCTTTATAATGTCAAACTATTATATATCACCTTAGACATTACTAATTTAAAATTGGTAGTATTTCAGAAAGGGTTAATTCAAAGTTAATGTTTAACTTAGCATGCCCTTTGTTCACATTATACATTAACAATGCAAGGGCTGAATGTATAAATTACATAAAAAATAAATTTGAGTAATTTAAAAATAGTTTGATGTAGAGGTAGTACTATTTATTAAAACTGGTAGTCCTGAAGCATCTTTCTAGATAATATCGTATTAGTTTAGGTTGAGTTTTGCATGTTTTTTCCATAACTTTTATATGAAGATTTTGAAACATGCAGAAAAAATTGAGGAAAAATTTAAGGAACACGTATATAACCATCACTTAGATACAATGATAGCTGATACTCTATTTATTGATTTTATGTCCTCATCCTCTGTGTGTGTGTGTACATTTGCTGTACAATTTGAGTTTTATCATAAATCTATCACCACGTATCCGAGCAATAAATATTCAACATAATCACAATATTATCACCTAAGAAAACAAGTAATAATTACCTAAAACAACTTAAAACTCAATTCATATTTAGATTCTCTCAATCTGTTATTTATTTATTTATTTAGAGACAAGTTCTCGTTCTGTGGCCCAGGCCAGAGTGTCGTGGCACGGTTTCGGCTCACGGCAGTCACCACCTCCTGGTTCAAGCGCTTGTCCTGCCTCCGCCCCGTGAGTAGCTGGGATTGCAGGCAAGTGCCACTCTTTGTAATCTGTCCCACTGCCCCTTTTTTCCTCCCACTCCTCAAGCAGTCACTGATCTCTCTGTGACTCTGGATTAGTTTGCATTTTTTGCAGTTTATATTACAGAGATGGAATTAGAGGATATACTTTTTTGTGTTTTTCTTTTTTTTTTTTTTTTTTTGAGACAGAGTCTTGCTCCGTTGTCCAGGCTGAAGTGCAGTGGCATGATCTCGGCTCACTGCGACCTCTGCCTCCCAGGTTCAAGTGATTCTCCTGCCTCAAGCCTCCCGAGTAGCTGGGATTATAGGTGAGCACCACCACACCAGGCTAATTTTTGTATTTTTAGTAGAGACAGGGTTTCATCTTCTTGGTCAGGCTGGTCTCGAACTTCTGGCCTCATGTGATCCATCTGCCTCAGCCTCCCAAAGTGCTGGGATTACAGATATGTGCCACTGTGACCAGCCTTTTTTGTGTTTTCTAATGAGTTTATACAGTTCATCTAAGATGTCAAGTTTAAGATTTTATCATTTATCGATTTTAAGAAACTGTGTGCCTTGCAGTTTTTTTCTTTTGTGTAGGGTTTGTTAAACTTTGTGGGTTTCTAGTTTTCATCAAGTTTGGAAAATTTTTGGCCATTATTTCAAGTATTTTTTTTTCTGTCAGCACTCCCCCTCTCCCCACCACCTTTTTGGGGACTTCATTTAGATGAATATTAGGCCACTTGAAGTTATTACATACCTCATTGAGGCTCTGTGCCTTTTTTTTAATTGTATTTTCTCTCTGCATTTCATTTTAGATGGTTTCTATTGATACATCTTCAAGGTCACAAATCTTCATTTCTACAATGTTAATCTGTTATTGTTTCATCCAGTATGTTTTCCATCTTAGATCTTACAGTTTTCTTGTCTAAAAGTTTAGTGTAGGTGTTTTAAAGAAATATATTACATATCTCTATATAACATGCTCATATTTTCCTTTAGCTTCTTAAACATGGGGAATATAGTTATAATAACTAACATTTCTTGTCTACTAATGCTGTTACTTGTTTATTTAGGAGTTAGTTTCCACTAATTGAAATTTCTTCTAATTATGGATCACGTCTTGCTTCTTGCATGCTTCGTGATTTTTACTTGTAAATTGTACCTTGTTAAGCGCTAGTTTTTTGTCCTAATACCGGTTCATGAATTTGTTGTTGTTGTTGATTTTTTTTTTTTTTTTTTTTTTTTTCCTGGGATGCAGTTGCTGCTTGGAAGCATTTGACTTTTTGGGTGTTGCTTTTAATGTTTGGTGGGGCCAGAGCAGCTTTTGGCCTAGGACTCATCTTTCTCTAATGTTGAGGCAAAACCCTTCTGGGTACTCTACCCATGAATGATAAGGTTTTCCACTTTGATGCGGTGGGATAGGTGCTATATTGTGCCCTGTGTGAGCCCTGTACATTGTTTCCTCCAGTCTTTTCAGTTGGTCCTTTCCCGGCTCCAGGGGATTTCCTTAGCCCAGACAGGACTCAGCGGAATATGAGAGGTAATTCTCTGCAGAACTCAGGAGTTCTTTCTCAGTGCCGCTCGTCTTTTCTTGTCTTTTGTCCTGTGAGCTCTAGCAGCCTTGGTTTACTTGACCTCCCAGCTTTATCATTTCGATTTAGGGAAACCACTGGGCTCCACCTAGGTTTACCCTGTCTGCATTGTGACCTGGAAGCACTCTCCAGGCAATGAGCTAGGGCAATTGGTTGTCATGGCCTCCGTTTCCCATCTCTCAGGGATCCCTGTTCTTCACCACCTAATGTCCAGTGCATTTCTTAAGTTGGATTTTACTATTCTGTTTCATGCTTACCCCCAGTTACTGCAAACTGATAAAGTTTTACTGTTGTTTTTACCTAATCCATTTCTTATTGCTCGAATAATTTGCCATTAAAATAAAAATGGCCCTTTCCTAACTAAAAATTAAAACTGAAATGAAAAAAATTCAAGCTTCTAAAGTACACATTGCATAGTAAATGTAATGTTATGTATACTCTGGTTTATCTTGCTAGAAGGCGTTGCTGTAGGGATGATGAGTGGAAACCCAAGGTGATTTAGCCAGAGATGTGTTAAAAGAACACACCTATTTAATAAGTGTTATATTCCCAGTTTGGTAAGTAAATATTTTCTGCAGATATTAATAGTTTATTTTTTGTGTTTCAGGTAATCAAGTAGAAAGTATGAGCTTCATCTGTGGATTGCAGTCTGCTGTTAGAAACCATGTTTTCTTCCGGTTTAATTCACTGGCTAACTGGAGAAAATGTAACACGTTAGCATCAACCTCAGAGGGCTGTCATCAAGTAGTAAATAAGTCTCAGGGACTGGGAGTAAATCAGTGTGATAGGTGGACTTTGCTGCCCGGAAACTTTCATTTTTATAGGACTTTTAACAACAAAAAAACAGGATGCCTCTCAAGTACCAAAAGTAAGGAAATTTGGATGAATGCCAGCAAATATACTGTATGGAAGGACTCTTTTTCAAGACAGCTATTAATAAAAAAAGTTAGAGCAGTTCCTAGTCTGTTAGTATTGCATCCTCTAAGCCCTTCTCCTGTAAGAGCCATTAGGAATTTCCACACCTCTCCGCGGTTTCAAGCTGCTCCGGTTCCTCTCTTGTTGATGATTCTTAAACCAGTGCAGAAGTTACTTGCAATCATTGTAGGCAGGTAAAATGCTTTTTTTAGAAAAATAAACTTCTGTATTAACTTTTTGCATTAATATTTTGTGTTATATTAACTTTTAGAAACTAAACTTTTTATTTATAAAACTGGACTTGTAAAGAAATCTCCCCTGTATCCCCCCATTTAGCTCAAAACAAAGTTTCTAAAGAATAGGTCCTACTCAGTTTTGTTATGCATGATTTAATAATCTTGAAACAAGATTAGGACCTATTGTTGCATATTAATTTGATCTCCTTAAAAAGTTATTCTTACCTATCGTATAGACATTTAGAAAATCTTATATTTATGATTACAGGATCATAGGATATGTGGATCAGAAATGTTGGTTATAGCTCATATATAAGAAGAACACTTTTTTTAAATTTGTGCAATTTGAGGCAGTAAATAATAAAACTGAGTAACGGTGGGCTCACTCCTAGTTAACTCTTAAATCATTAATGCTTCTTTTTTTTTTTTGTTCCAAACACATTTTTGTTTTTTCTTGGTGGTATTTTATAATACTATTTTCACAGCTTGGTAATACTTTAATCTTTTTTCTCTCATTTGTTTCATGGAGATTGAAGAAAGCTAATCACTGTTTCCTCAGAAAGCTTTCTTGTGTTTGATGACTGAAGTTCCTTCTAGCGCCTTAACTTCCGCATGAGCCAAACATTTAGTGTTTAACCTTAAAATAGCTGAAGAAGAAAATTTTGATGAGCCTTAGAATATTTATTTATAAATTTGCATAGTTAATTATTTTTCATCATTTAGCTAAGAACCTTATTAACTGGAAAAGCCATGTGTTCAGCAAAATACATTACACAAATTCACGTGTTTGAGGACATAAAATTCTAGTGTATGCATTTGAGCTTTAGTGATATGTGCTGGAATGATGATCAGAACTTCGAATTTTTCTTTTTGCTTTAGGGGCATAAGGAAATGGTGGCAGGCACTTCCTCCTAACAAGAAGGAACTATTTAAAGAAAGTATAAGGAAGAATAAATGGAAGCTAGTCCTTGGTTTGAGTAGTTTTGGATTGCTCTTTGTGGTATTTTATTTTACTCACCTGGAAGTAAGTCCAATCACAGGAAGAAGCAGGCTGCTATTATTGGGGAAAGAGCAGTTCAGACTTTTATCAGAACTGGAATATGAAGCAGTAAGTAGTAAGAATTGTTTTTAATTAGACTGCTTAATATAACACTCAAAGTAGGAAAGTTTCTTAAATATGAAAGATACATTGCTTTTTAATTTTAGTATTTGACATGAAGTTAGCATTTTTTTTTCCAGACGGCCTCCGACCTTTCACACTTAGTACTACTGCTGCCGACGTTGCTTTTCCTAGCATTTACCCAGCTAACTCCTGCTTAACACATCTCACCTTAAATGTCACTTTCTGAAGAAGGCCTTCCTTGATGATCCAGACTGGGTTAGGTAGGGGGACTGGATCAGGCCCTAGGAGGTATCCTTCATACCGACTGAATTATGAACCAACTCATTTGTAGTTGTGCCCATTGCTTGACTATACTGGGATTAGGTCTCCTAGGCTTTTTTTCTCTGCATACTATACTTTTCCTTCAAAGCACTCATGAGAGTAACAGTTATTTGCACAATTATTTATTTGATAGTCTGTTTCTCTTATTAGATTAAGCTTCATGGGGGCAGGGATCTTACCTGTTTTGTTTATGGTTTTATTTTAATACAGAGTGTAAGTATAGTGCTTAGTGTATATGTATTGAATAAATAGATTTATAGTCAGAATTTTTATACCTTGAAAATCAAGTAATATAAGACCGTTTTTTCTAAGCATCAGTTTTAGCAATTTATTATATTTTTTGAATCCAAACTGAAGTTGGAGTTTAGAAGACTTACCTCTTTGGAAAGTATAATAATTCAGATAGTTAAACATTTTGAATCCTAGTGAGTTTCTTAGGGACGGAGGTCATCATTTTATCTCCAGTTCATAGCACATATACATGTTATATGCCCTGTCACTCAAATTAATTGTTGAATTCGTGTCCAGTAGCCTCACTCGACACCTTTGGCATGGTTAAATCTTTTTTTAAACCAGGCTGGACTGCAGTGGCAGGGTCTTGGCTCACTGCAACTCTGCCTTCAGGTTCAAGTTATTCTCTGGCCTCAGCTTCTTGAGTAGCTGGGACTATAGTCGCACACCACCATACCTGGCTAATTATTTTGTGTTTTAGTAGAGATGGGGTTTCACCATGTTGGCTAGGCTGGTCTCGAACTCGTGACCTCAGGTAATCCACTTGTCTTGACCTTCCAAAATGCTGAGATTACAGGCATGAGCCACCACACCCGTCATGGTTAAGTCTTTTTATTCCAAATCAACTTCTGAGTTTGTCAATGGAAAGCTACTATGAAAAAAGAAATAATATTTTCTTAGTATAAAAATTTCTCTTAATCAGGGTGCAATCTCATAGTAGAGTATATATGGAGACTTGAGATGTTTCTTAGGATTTAGTCAGAGGCAGGTTTGAGGAAATTGTTCTGGAAAGATTGAGACAGGCCTAGTATTAGTGCATCTTTTACCACTCACATTCCTAAGACATTTTAAAAAATTCTGTATCGACATAGATGCATTTGTCTTTTTTTCTTATTTTAGCTACAATTACCACTTGTGATAGGAAAATTTAAATACATGTTCTTACAGGGATATTATAAAGTGCTATAATTACATGTATTCTTGTTTTATCTCCTTCAGGAGAGTTGATAATGGGGGTTTTTGTTTTAGGCAGTTCACATTGGTGAATTATGCTTTTTAAAAGTCTTTAAGATGACTACTTGTAAGTTCATGTTCTATAATATAAAATAATGTCTTTGTAATGTATCTCAAGGAGAAAAGTTACTAACTTGTTCATTCTTATTTATTTATTTTTTTTTTGAAACAGTCTCACCTTGTCACCTAGGCTGGGGTGCAGTGGTGCTAATCTCGGCTCGCTGCAGCCTCTGCCTCTCAATTGAAGTACTTATGCCTCAGTCTTCCAAGTAGCTGAGACTACAGGCATGCGCCACCACGCCTGGCTAATTTTTATATTTTTAGTAGAGACAGGGTTTTATCATGTTGGGTGGGATGGTCTCCATCTCCTGAACTCGTGATCCACCCGCCTCGGCCTCCCAGAGTGCTGGTATTACAGGTGTAAGCCACCGTGCCCAGCCACTTGTTGATTCTTAAGTGAAAGAAAGTATACATTTTATGAATGTTAAAGTAATATTTCAGAACATTTGTAGTTTGCTCAGTATGTTTGAAAGAGCTCTCATTAATATAACTTCAGAAAAAGTATCTTCTATGGTGGCTAGTTTTAATCAACATCATGTAGAGACAGTGATATGCTCATTAGTTCTGAGATTTCAGTAATTTCAACTTGTGTGAATAAAACACCTTAAAATTAATGAAATACCTATTTTGGTAAAAGTTTAACTTTCTTTTTAAGTATAAAGTGTTTTTCTGTTTAATACATTGTGAATGTAATTTTCTTGTATATTTTACTTAGATGAGATCTTAGGTTCTCTACGCAGGGTTTTTTTTTTTTTTTTTTTTTTGATATGGGGTCTTACCCTGTCCCCCAGGTTAGTGTTGGAGTGCAGTGGTGAGATCTCAGCTTACTGCAACCTCTGCCTCCCAGGCTCAAGCGATCCTCCCACCAGCCTCCCATGCAGCTGGGAACACAGGTGCATGCCACCACGCCTGTCTAATGTTTCGTGTTTTTGGTAGAGATGGAGTTTCACTATGTTGCCCAGGCTGGTGTTGAGCTCAGGTGATCCTCCTGCTTTGGCCTCCCTTAGTACTGGGATTACAGGCATGAGCCATTTGCCTGGCCTAGGCAGTGTTTTCTAAAATATTTAGGAAAGTAGAAATAATACTTAAGTATGCATTTGAAGGTTAATCAAAAGAGTGAAATTTTGATGTCAATGTATTCAATCCATAAAAAATCTTAGTATTAGAATTTATTCCTTTGTCAGAACCCACATTGCCTTTGCATGAATAATTCAGATGTGAGAAATTTGAGTGCTTAATATGTGCAGACTTTTTTTTTTTTTTTTTTTTTTTTTTGAGACGGAGTTTCGCTCTTGTTACCCAGGCTGGAGTGCAATGGCCCGATCTCGGCTCACCGCAACCTCCGCCTCCTGGGCTCAGGCAATTCTCCTGCCTCCGCCTCCTGAGTAGCTGGGATTACAGGCACGCACCACCATGCCCAGCTAATTTTTTGTATTTTTAGTAGAGACGGGGTTTCACCATGTTGACCAGGATGGTCTCGATCTCTTGACCTCGTGATCCACCCGCCTCGGCCTCCCAAAGTGCTGGGATTACAGGCTTGAGCCACCGCGCCTGGCATGTGCAGACTTTTATATAATTGAAAGTTACAATGTTTAACAATAAGTAGCCATGTAACTTTCCGTGAAGCAGAGTAAACATTTTGTAGTGCTCTTTTGAAATAAGAAGTGATTTTTAATCTTTCAGTGGATGGAAGAATTTAAAAATCATATGCTGACTGAGAAAGATGCCCGATACCTGGCTGTTAAAGAAGTGCTTTGTCATCTAATTGAATCCAATAAAGATGTTCCAGGGATCTCTCAGATCAATTGGACTGTTCATGTGGTTGATTCCCCAGTTATTAATGCCTTTGTGCTTCCAGTAAGTAAATGTTCTCAAACTCATTGTAATTGTTAAATTTATTGTCCTTATTTTTTATTATCTTCTAATTGCTTATATTATTTTCTTTGTGGTGCAGAATGGACAAATGTTTGTTTTCACTGGATTTTTAAATAGTGTAACCGATATTCATCAACTTTCTTTCCTTCTGGGCCATGAAATAGCACATGCAGTACTTGGGCATGCTGTAAGTACCTAAAATGAATGTTCAGGTTTGGAAAAACTGCTCTGAAGTTAACAAGTTAAATCTTTTAAAGAATTGATTTTTTTTCATTTTTTTTTTTTAAATGGTGGAATTTTAGTTTTGAGGAATTGCCGTAATCTGCTACTTGAAAAAATGGGTTTGACTAATTTTGAGAATTTTTATGGTTTTTAGTATTTGATACTGAATAATTAAATTTCTCTTAAATACTATTTTTATCACCTCTCTCTTTTGCTAAAAAGTAATTATTCTCAACCCCTAATTATTTCAAATTAAATTTTAAACTTTCTATAATTATTAATATACTTGTAATCTAGTCAGAAAATTAATTGTGGGGAAGTGATAATAGTATTTAAATGGGTAAATCATCTTTTCTTATTCATTCTCAGAGGATAGCTTGGAGCATCATTGAAAATGTCTAGAATGATGTGTCATGTATAATTAATGCAGAGTAATAATGATACCTTGCTGTTTTACAGTTTACTGGGCTTTTTAGTATATGTAGCTTCTCATTCGTAATGAGAAGCTTCTCATTCATTTTAATACCTAATGAGGTGTGTATTTATTATTACTATTTTATATAAGAGAAAACTAATGTTTAGAAAGACTTAGTAACATGACTAACCTGACAAAGTAACTGAATTGGGACTTGAACCTGGGTCTTCTGTATGTTAGTCCAGGGTTTCTTCCTTTCACCATAGCTCCCTGGTTTTTGGCAGCATTTTTCTTATAGATCATAGAATTCGAATTGATGTATGCTCCTGTGAATAGATGTCTGTTCATCTTGATATGAGTTGAAGGAAATAACACATCTGTTTCACACATTTTTAAATTGTTACTCATTTAAAAATGTGAATGGCTCTTTTGTCTACATTAGAAGTATTTTTTAAAATTGTAAACGCAAAGGTAAATAGTGAAATGACTGAAATGCGAAATCAGAAATACAAGTAACGTTAACAACTTCAAATGGAAATGATAATGATTCTAATCCTCCTAAAAGTCATCCGAAATTCTACCTATTCCTTAGGGTAGTAATAAGATGAGGTGTTTTTCTGAAGCATCAAGAGTAATTATCTCCTTTATTTCTTGTAAGACATTTTTTCTTGACTATGCGTAGTGGCTTACCTATAATCCCAGCACTTTTGGAGACTGAGGCAGGAGGATTGCTTGAACCCAGGAGTTTGAGACTGGCCAGGGCAACATAGACTCTGTCTGTATAAAAAAAATTTAAAAATTAGCTGAGCATGATGGCTCATGCCTGTAGTTCCAGCTGCTCTGGAGCCTGAGGCAGGAGGATTGCTTGAGCCTGGGAGAGCAAGGCTACAGTGAGCCATGATTGCACCACTGCACTCCAACCTGGGTGACAGAGTGAGACACTGTCTCAAAGAAAAAAAAAGAAAAAAAATCTTTTTTTCTTAAACAAGTATACACTAAGCAGTAGAAATAGTGTTGTTATATGCACTCTAATATCTTTCAAGTAATGGCTTCATAACTGCAAAATCAATCAGTTTTGTCCATTTTAGCATTGAAAAGGTGGTACCATTCAGTCCATTTGATTTTCAGGCATCTAGTTCAGTGCCTCATATTCAGTGTATTGTCATCTCTATCAGTGCAGGAACAATAGATGAGATGTAAAAAGCAAACAGCAGCCTTAAAATGGAAAATAGTTATTAATATGTTTTTGCAGAGATCTGAAATATTGTCAGCACTAGATTTTCTCTTTTGGGAGTCTCAATTTTTATTTTATCTAGGCTTTTAGGTTTTCTTCATTCTACAAATACAGGTTTTTTTTGTGTGTATTTCTAGTTTTCTAAGACTGTGTAATAGCAATTATATTCTTTAATAACAAGAGCTTTCTCTTCTATAATGACTTATTTTGAGTTTCACTTTCTCATGTTGAAATAATTTCGTAATTGTTTTTCAAAACACAGTTGTGTTTTGAGGCAAAGTAATGAGACACATATAATGAGGTGAAGTATGTTTTGTGAGGGCACAGGATTTGTTAAGGGACAATATTCTAAGTCATTGTTTTTAGTTTTCAGGCATTTTTCATACTTTCAAGTAAGGACTGCTATTTTATCAGTTTCAGCTGATAATCATTAGCATTTACAACAGTAACATTTACTCATCAACTTTAATGGCAAATCATGAACAATCCAGTTCATTAAACTTATATTTAGATATTACTACTCACAACAACTATTTTATGAAAAATCTTTTTTGGTAACTAATATAAGTACATATAGAAATTCATAGAACCCAATTCTCTCATGAGAAATATTAGACTTAAAAATTACAAACTTGTATAAATGAATAATGTTTCATATATTAGGTCTTGAAGACCAGAATACCTTTATTTAAAATAAACTTCCAGTCTTTTTCTGAGTTTTTTTTTGTTGTAAGTATTTCATATGTTAGGTAGTGTTTAATCTTTATCCAAAAAATTAGTAAAATAAAACATGTATTTGATTTTTTTTAAGTGATGCAAATAAATTAAAAACTAAAACTGACTGGGTTTGATTTCTGGTTCTTTAGTAATAACTGTGTGAATTTGGGCAACTCTTTTAACTTCTGTCTCAGTTTCATTATTATAAATATAGGGATGATTGTACCTATTTCACAAGGTTATGCTTCTTAATATAAGAAAATTCAGGGTAATATCTGACTAATAGTAAGTGGCTCAGTAGATAGTAGTTAAATGAATGAATAGGTATATAAGTAAACAAAGGAAGTGAAAAACAGACCAGGAAAGAATAAGCAAAAGAAAAAAAAAAGAGAACTCTCAGTCTTAGGTGGAGGTCAGGTAATTATAACACATAATGAACTAGAAAATGTAAGCATACACTATCTTGATGTATGAAATGTAATTGTTATTATTTCCATTATTCTCAGGCAGAAAAGGCTGGCATGGTTCATTTATTGGATTTCCTAGGTATGATTTTCCTCACGATGATTTGGGCCATTTGTCCTCGAGATAGTTTGGCCCTTTTGGGCCAGTGGATACAGTCTAAATTGCAAGAGGTAGGTCTGAGACAGTAACTTGAGTTCATCATAGCCTGTGGTGAGGATATTTTAATACTGTTCTAAAGCAGCAAATCTAGAGATGTTTTTCCATTTTACTTTGAAATACAGGTACTAATTTTTAGTGTCTTATGTTTTCTCATTTTGGGGGGGATATTCTTACGTATGAATATTTAAATTAAGGAGAGCAACATCTCTCAAATGATGGGCATGGATGAGTTAGAGGGGCTTGGAAAATTGTGGCTAGTGTAATTTTTTAAAATATATTTATTGGTTTTGCAGAGAGAAAAACGCAGTCACTGACCCTTCCTTTCGTAGTAAATGAATGACTCCCCAACCCCCAAATTCAGCCATCCCTTGGTATACAGTAGTTCTCGTGGATACTGAAATCTGAGTACGCTCAAGTCCTTGATAAAAAGTGGCATGCATGTGCATGTGACTATGCACATCCTCTCAGATACTTTAAGTTACCCCTTGATTACTTGTAATTCAATGTAAATGTGTAAATAGTTATTTAACTATATATATTTTTGTTTTTTGTAGTTTTTTATTGTTTTTGTAAATATTTTCTATCCAAATTGATTGAATCCACTGGATGCATAATCCACAGATATGGAGAGCCAACTATATTTGCATTTTGATGGGGCTCTAGTAAAACCTTTGAACTTTAATGGGCACAGAATTGGCTAAAGCCGTTTTACCACCCTTCCTTCCTTCTTACTCTGTTAAACTATCATTGCTTTGTAAGTATTGAAAGGAAAGTCTTACTACGTGTTTGTTAACTTTTGTTTTTAGTGCTTATATATAATAATCATCTCAAAAATTTATTAAGTGCTTCATTTTGTTCAAAACACCGTACTACTGAAAGTAGATTTGCTGTCTTTATAACTAATTTGTTAACTATGATTATTTTATTTTACATCTTTGAATATTTCCTCTTGTCCCGGGAGGTTTGGTGGTTTAGGAACAGTCTGTTATTTGTTTATTTAATGATTTGTGGAGCACCCATCAGAGTGCCATCTGGGTGCTGTTTAAATCTAATGTGCAAAATTCAGTGAGACAAACTTTTAGAGACTGGATAACTAAGTCTGTTATTCACTATTACCGTATCATTTGGTTCATTTATATTGAAGTAAAGGTTCTTAAAGAGAAAGCAAAAGAATGGCTATTGCGTAGGTCATAGGACCTCATATTTTGAATTCTGTTTCTGTCACTGACCTGCCGGGAAATTAAAAGAATTAATGTAGTTGTTTTCCCCATCTATCTATAGATTGCTTTTTCTGTAATGGAATCAGCAGAGTTGATCATAAGAAAGATAACATGTAGCTGTTTCTTTCTTGAAATACTTGATAAATTCTGCTACTTCACTGTAATTCTAAAATGAGAATAAAGTAGGAATGATTCTGTTTGAATTTTTTTTGCCTAAATCAAGTCCCCTCAATAATTTTGGTGACAAGGAGATGTTTTTCTCTAAAAAGCTGCTCACTGTGATTGGAGAGCTAAGCAGAATGTTGATAGTGAAGTCATTTGGGAGTGGGAATTGCTGACCCTCATTTGTTGTGAGGGCTGAGTGATACATTTAAAGCAGGATTTCTCAATCTCAGCACTACTGACACTTTGGACTGGATAATTCTTTGTTGCAGGGGAGTTGTCCTGTGCACTGTAGGGTGTTTAGTAGCATTTCTGACTCTCATCCTCTGGATGCCAATAGCTCTCCTTCCCCTCAGTTATGGCAGTCATAAATATTTCCAAACACTTAGATAAATGTCCCTGGAGGACAAAATCACACTTGGTTTAGAATCATTTATATAAAGCACTTAGCACAGTACCTGGCACAAAGTAAGGACTCAGTAAATATGAGCTGCTATGTTTGCTTGGCACTGTTACTAGTTCCATGTTACATAAGATACTAATGGACTTAGTGGGGTTAAACAATTAGCTCAGGGTTAACGATAAGTTAGCAGTATTAGGACTTGAACTTAAGTTTTTCTCCTTTTAAAGTCAAAGTTTTAAATCTATATGCTGTGAATAGACTTGATGGGGGCACCTGTAGCCTGTCATGAAGACTGAAAGCAGTATATGATATACTTTATCAACCTAAAACAGACACGATTGAAAAGGAAGAAAGTCTTTCTAATGGTCACATACTGTATATCAGATTTATTATATTATTTCAGGCCATAACAGACATGTGGCTACCTTTGAAAGATTGCTTCCCCAATTAATAGCTCTTTTCTCAAAAGTTCTGCCTATTGATTCATCTCCTACAAAGTTTTAGTACTTACTGAAAATTAGAATTTAACTGGAAAGCATTCACATAAATACAAGTAATTAGGAAAATTAAAGTTACTATATCTATATGTGTTTTTTATTGAAGTCAGAAGAAAATTTCATTTTCCCAGATAATCAATACCTAGAAAAGAAAAAGGAAATTAAGTTAATTTATCAAAGAAAGAGCATTCTGCTATATGGTTAATTTTCGTACTGAAATAAATTGTCTAGTAGTGTCATTGGCTATTATAGACTTACATTTTCTTGATTTCCTTTTTAAACTGCAAGGTCAAAATGTTCCTTGACCATATTAAAAGCCTTCATCAATAAGCTTTCTTAGTGAATCCTGTACTCAGTAGGTGGAGACTATAATTGGAAAAATAGAAGTAAATTACTTATACTACAGACTGTCTAGAAATTTGTAGGCATGACTTCTATTCTTATCATGTTTTTAAAGTATTAATTTCTAATCAAGAAAATAAAGACTGTGTTTATATCTTGTATCATGGAGTTATTTTAATGTTAGTAGACAGAGTATAAGAATTTTATCCTAGATACTCCATGAAACTTTTTTAAAAAACCTCTCCTTATTACTCCTTTTGTTATCAAATAAATTGTCTTAATGGAGCTTTTCTGTCCTATTTCTTCTTAGTATATGTTTAATAGACCATACAGCAGAAAATTGGAGGCTGAAGCTGACAAAATTGGACTATTGCTTGCTGCAAAGGTAAAGTGTTTAGTAGTTGAGAATACACAGTGCCCTTCACAGGCTAAAAGATACATGTCTGTTATTTTAATGATGCTTGGCATGAGCAGAGAATAAGAGTTGGACTGTATTAGCCCTGTATGTAATTTCTGTTAATCTAGAAATTTGAAAGATTATGGACCTTGAAAGAATGTATAACTGAAGATACTCAATTCCCTTCTATATATGAAGCTGTATTATGCCTTAGACAGAATCCATAAGATTATAATAATTTTTAGGTTCTATTAAAGTTTTTTTTAATTAGAAATAATTTTTTCCATATATACATTTTTTGAATATAGACATAAAACATATACCTTGAAAATTTAAAACATTTGGTTATGTAATGTGTTATCCCTTCTGGCCTTTTTTAACATTTGTGCCCCCTGGAAAGCTAATGCTATCTTCATTTTACTCGAGTACTCCAGTGTTTTACTTCTTGCTTCTCTGAAATAAGGAGGCTTTTTTTTTTTTTTTTTTTTTTTTTTTTTTGAGACAGCGTCTCACTCTGTCGCCCATGCTGGAGTGCAGTGGTGCGATCTCAGCTCACTGCAACCTACGCCCTAAGGAGGCTTTTTGAGTAAACAAGATGATAGGTAGTTTTCCCCCACTTGAAGATTTGTTAATTCTGTTGTAATTATGATCTTGGCTAAGCAAACTTAGTTTCTGCCATTTAAATAAACAGTAGAAGAACCAGACATTTAGGTTATTTTTGTTGTGGCAGATGACTTTTTTTGCCAGCCATAGAGAGCACCTCTGGGCCTTTACTTATGTTTAAGTTGATTTTGCTCCCATCTACAGAATAGGGCACTTGGCATCTGTTTTTAATCACCTGTGATAACTTGAGTGTAGCATTTAATATACACTGCATTTTAAAAAAGCAAAACTGCATTTTAAAAAATGAGTGAAAACAATGCCACTTCCCATATTAAATTCAAATTTTATTTGATCCTTTGTTATGTTTCTGGTAGTTATTAAAACTATTAATCATTTTATTTGAATCTTTCATAAGTTTTATGGATTTAATTTCATAAATCAAGATATTACTCCTTCACAAAAGCAAAAGCAGTTCTTTAAATGTTAAATAAGTATGGTTAAGGGAATTATCAGACTGCATACACTGAGAAGTTCCCAAATAAGAGGGCCACAGAATGTCTGTATTAAGAATTTCCTAATCTTTTTTTTTTTTTTTTTTTTTGAGATGGAGTCTCCCTGCATCACCCAGGCTGGAGTGCAATGGCGCGATCTCGGATCACTGCAACCTCCACCTCCTGGGTTCAAGCGATTCCCTTGCCTCAGCCTCCCAAGTAGCTGGGGCTATAGCCCAGCTAATTTTTGTATTTTTAGTAGAGGCAGGGTTTCGCCGTGTTGGCCAGGACTGTCTCAATCTCCTGACCTTGTGATCCGCATGCCTCAGCCTCCCAAAGTGCTGGGATTACAGGTGTGAGCCACTGTGCCTGGCCTAATTTCCTAATTTTAATGTACTGCAGTCTGTCAGATTTTTCCTGTATGTTAAGTGTGTTCTGTGTTCTGGTTAGGAAATCTTTGTTTATCTCAGTAAGTTATTCCTGCTTTATTTCTAAGAAACTTTACTGTTATTTTTTAAATATATAATATGAAGAAGAGGGCAACATCTTTTTTTCCGCATATGGATAGCTAATAGACACGGCACTGTTCATTGAAAAAGTCATCTTTTTTTCATCAGACATCAGTGTCTCTTTGTCTTAAAGGTGGAAGTATACATGGGGTATTTTTCTAGATGCACTATTCCATTCCATTGCCTATTGTTTATGTTTCAGCCAATACCATATTATCACAATAACCTGAAGCTTCTGTCCTCCAGTGCTGTTCTGCAGAATTGATTTGACTGTGTACCTTTGCATTTCTGTATACATTTTAGGAACAGCTTATTAAATTGATACATACATAGAAAAACACATGATTTTTTGATTGGAATTACATTGCATTTCTACATTAATTTGGGGACATCTTGACTAGGGTCTATAATACTGATTCTTCCAGTTCATGAATATGATATATCTTCCCATTTGTTTAAATGTTTAATTTTTCTCGATGTTTTGAAATTTTTTATGTGTGTGGGAATTACACATCTCTTATTAGGTTTATTGCTAAGTGTTTGATGTCATGATAAATAGTGTCCTTTTAAAAGTAAACTGCTTTTAAAAAAGTACAATTGATTTTTATAACTGACCTTGTACCCAACAATCTTTATTTCTTCCTTTCCAATCTGTATACAGTTGACTCTTGAACAGCATGTTTTTGAGCTGTGTAGATCCACTTATACACAGGATTTTTTTTCGATAAATATATTGGAAAGTTTTTTGGAAATTTGCAACAATTTGAAAAAACAGATGAACTACGTAGCCTAGAAATATTGAAAAAGTTAAGAAAAAGGTATATGTCATGAATGCATAAAATACATGTATATATTCATCTGTTTTATAATTTGCTACCATAAAATACAAATCTTTTAAGAAAATTTATCAAAATGTGTGCATACGTGGACCATACATAGCGCTGTTTGCAGTTGGGAGAAATGTAAACAAGTGTAAAGATGCAGTATTAAATCATAACTACATAGTATTAACTGTAGTACCTATTGCACTGCTCTTATAATTTTGTATTTACTTCCTGTTGCTATTGCAGTGATCTCAAGTGTTGTGAATATCTGCTTAAAACACCACGAGATGCTAATCATCTCCATATGAGCAGCTTTCTTTCCAAAGAATTGAGTATCTCAGTAAATGGTCTCTTACAACTCTTGCATATTTTTCATCGTGTTTAGTGCAATGCTGTAAATATCTTGAATAACCCATATGAGTTGCTGCTAGTGATACTGGAAATGCTTCCAAGAAGTAAACTCATGACATTACAAGAAAAAGTTGAGTTGCTTGGTATATACTATAGGTTGAGCTGTGCAGCTGTGGTTGCCTACCATTTCAAAATAAATGAATCCAGAGTAAGGACCATTGAATAAAAGAAAAGAAAATTTATGAAGTCATAGCTGCAGCTATGCCAGAAAGCATGAAAACCTTGCACTTTTTGCAAAAGTCTCTATCTTGTGTAGAAAATGTACCTTTTATGTGGGTGCAGGATTGCTGTAAGAAAGGCTTGTATATAGACTCTAATATGATTCAAGAAAAAGCAGTCACTACATTACAACTTAAAACAGGAAGATGCAAGATCTAAAGCTGGAGAATTTAATGTCAGCGAAGGATGGTTTGATAGTTTTAGAGATTTGACTTGAAAATGTCAAGATAACAGGAGAAGCAGCTTCTTCTGACCAAGAGGCAACAGGTGTGTTTCCAGATGCTTTAAGAAAATCATTGAGAAGAAAGAATATCTGCCTGAACAGGTTTTTAATGCAGGTGAAAGTGTCCTATTCTAGAAAAAAGATAATGCCACAAAGGACATTTATTAGTAAGGAAGAGAAGTGAGCATCAAGATTTAAGGTGGAAAGGGATGTGCTAACTCTGTGGAAATGGAGTTGGATTTCCAAGTACTTTCCTAATCTATAAAGCTGGTACCCCTGAGCCTCTAAGGAAAAAGATTATACCAGTTGCCAGTCTTTTGGTTGTATAATAAAAAGGCCTGCTACGCAGTGAGAACACTTTTTCTGGATTGGGGCCATCCATGCTTTGTTCTAAAGTCAAGAAGCATCTTGCCAGTAAGGACTGCCATTTCTTCTTATATTCTCAATGCCTCTGGCCACCTAGAACCCCATGAGTTCAACACTGAAAACATCTAAGTGGTCTGCTTGCCCCCAAACATAGCATTCCTAATTGAGTCTCTGATCAGAGGGCCATAAGGTCCTTTATGTGTCATACAACAGGGTAATTTATGGAAAAGATTGTCAGTGCTGTGGAAGGGAACCCCAATAGAACATCATGAAAGTCTGTAAAGATTACACCATTTAAGATTCCATCATTGTTATAGAAAAAGCCATGAAAGCCATCAAACCTAAAATAAATCATTGATGAAGCAAACTGTCCAGATGTTGTGTGTGACTACACAGAGCCAGTCAAGGAAATGGTGAAAAGATTATGGATATGACAAAAAAGGTGGGGAGGGAAGGGTTTCAAGATACAGATCTTGGAGAAATTCAAGAGCAAATAGACACCATATCAGAGAAATTAACAGCAGATGACTTGATGGAGATGTGTGCTTCCAAAATGGTGCTAGGTAAAAAAGACATAGTAGTGCCAGAAAACAAATTGACATTAGACAATCTAGCAGAAGGATTCTGATTATTCAAGACTACTTTTGACTTATTTTACGACAAAAATTACAAAGTATTTCCATTATGTTACACTAAGTGTGCCTGCCTCTCCTGTCTCCCATTCTACCTCTGCCACCCCTGAGACCACAAGATCAACTCTCCTCTTCCCCTTCTCAGTCTACTAAATGTGAAGACAAGGTTGGAGACATGATGGTCCACTTCTACTTAATGAATAGTAAATATATTTTCTCTTCCTTATGGCTTTCTTAATATTTTCTTTTCTCTATCTTTATTGTAAGAATACAGTATATAACACATATAACATACAAATCATGTTAATTTACTGTGTTACTGGCAAGGTCAACAGTAGGCTATTAATAGTTAGGTTTTTGTTGTATGTGGATTTTTGACTGCACAGAGGGGTCAGTGCCTATAACCTCTGTGTTGTTCAAGAGTCAACTACTTTTTTTTTTTTTTTTGCCTTATTGCAATAGTGAAAAACTTGAGTACAAAGTCATTGGTGGGCAACTTTGTTTCTTCCTGATCTTAGGGGAAAGAAAGCATTCAGTATTTCACCATTGTGATGTTTGTTGTAAGCTTTTTGTAGATACTTTTTATCTAAAGAGTTTCTCTTCCATTTCTAATATCCTAAGATTTTTAAAAATTGTGTCTGTATATTAAATTTTATCAAATGCATTTTCTACATTTTTTTCTTCAACTTTCAAGTTCCATGGTACATGTG